ATTCAGGGGACGAGGCTAGATCTGATCGACGCGAAAAAGAAAAAATAGAGAAGAGAAAGAGAGAGAGAGAGAGAAGGGGACGAAACGAAGTCTTCAGCTTGAAGAGAACAACCAATAGCATGAAGGTGAGCTGACAATAGATCAAATCTACATTCATCGCTATGCCTTGAAACCATTCCCATTCCAGAAAGATCACAAATAAGCGACCTAAGGATTCGTTGCACAGGCTGGTTGATTACATGGCTCAAGACACCCACGTAGTCATGACTCATAGGGAGATTTGGAGTTTGACCTTAAACTGAACATCACTAGAAGAAGCTCATTTTCGCTTTTCTTCCAATTTATTTCTCAATTTAAACATCAATGTGTCAATACTTACACACGCGCAAGGAAATATTTATTTATATCAAATGGGAGTCGTTCTGATAATTATCATAAGCCCTTTAGTTGACTTCAGGCTTCACAGAGGGGAAGGAACATCAAAGGGGAAAAAAAGTCGAGAGGGGGGAGGGAACAGAAGAGTGCTTCAAAGACGAATGTAGAAAAGGCGAGGTGAGTACTGTGGAAGTAGTCGAATATGGCATAGAGTAAGGTGAGTACTGTGGAAGTAGTCGAATATGGCATAGAGTGGGATCATGGCAGTTTGAAGTCAGAAGTCAACTGCCCATTGATAGACTTTTTTGCCGTATGAATATACGTTGCCCAGGTGCACCACGTGGAGGTCAGTCAATCGCACACCCCCGCACAAGGAAATAATAATTTTATCCTATGAAGAGCCTGATACAGTCCGTTGAATGTAAAATAATAACCTGAATGAATCGAGTAGGGTGGAGCTATTTGAATATTGCCTCATGAATGCAATAGATTGCCTACGATCTTAGTGTTTGTAGAATCCAGAGATGCCTCCAGTGTAGCTGAAACCGAGATATTTGTCTTTAGCAGGAGGAGTGATAGTTTTATAACTCTTATCGTCAGTATCATCGTCTTCAGTTTGTTCCACTGCTATGGAGATGCCAGAAGTCGTGGAGATCAGCGAAGATCGCTTATTGCAATGGGAAGCTGATGCACGGCGTTTCGCAGAGAGTGGAAGCACGCCATCTCCATTACCCAAGAATTCATTCTCTTTGTCAATATTTTCAATTGTGTCTTCATATAAAGTCCCAGATGAATGTCGCTTTACCGAAAGTCTAGATGAACGACGTCTAGATATAAACGGTTGTCAGGTACATGGATTACTTCATTAGCAGGTAATATAATGGACAATCTGGGCCTTTATGAAATTAATTCTCATCGGCGCACATGTAGAAATGTAGATGGCCAAACACCCCATTAAATTGTATTCAATAAGTTAAATAATTCAAATAA